CAATAGCACACAAGCAATCTTTATTCTCTTGCCAAAAAGGCTAGAAGCTTATCTTGTTTTTTCTCTGAATAGCATATCATAGGGATGGCTTACAGCTTACGATCATAGTTTTTCTGCTCTTTAGTATTTTGCCAACGGAAAGGAAATATTCAACACTGAGCTTATTTACATTTCACGTTAAAGATCCACCAACCAAAACGCATTGTTTTAATAAAGCAAAGTAAAATCTTTCGTTTCACGTAGAATTTATTAATTATATAGTTAATCGTTTACGTTAAGTTATGCTTGATTATTTATCTTAAATTGACAATTTTTAGTAAACAATTCATGGTTTCTTAAATATATAATAAAGAATTTTTGCTATTCCAAATCAATCCTCGTACCCATGAAAAACATAATTGTAATATCCAGACAATGTGTCAGTTGTTACAAAATATGGCAAAACAAGCATATTTCAAACGTCGCATTTAAATAGGTGCACTGGACTCAAGAATGCACTACTAAACAACTTAATGCATGACAAAATCATCAGCCTTAGTCAATTCAAAAGAGCGCTATGACAACTATCTTTGGAAACAGTACGTGACGTTGACGATGCAAAAACATTTTAATCTAATCTGTATGTTTATCTTTTATCTAGACACGTCAACTGTCCAATGATAGAAATAATTTGACTTTTTATTTTATTTTGAGAAGGGGGGGGGCTTTGCAGTAGCACGTTTTTAAAATTTTCGTGGAAGTTTTTGCCATTCGTAATTACATACGTCTTTTTGGCTTTCACGTTTCAACTAAATTAAATATTTGTCGAATAAGTTTACAGTTTAAGTCGTATAATGACAAAAAAACTATAAAGTTTGGCTGTGTCTTTCACTTTAAATAAATTTTTCTTCAATGGTTAAATTTTAATTCGATCCCAAAGCCCATCTTCAGTGAATTGTCAAGCATAGGTCTCTTCAAAATTTTTTAAACTGAGACAAAGACATTCCTTTCACGAGAAAACATGAGCCCAACTAAATTGACCTGCTCACCACTTTGTGACTTCATAGCTCAGTTGGTCAGAGCACTGCACCGGCACCGCAGAGGTCATGGGTTCAAATCCCGTTGAGTCACCTGAATTTTTCAGGCTCATGAGACAATTGCTTAAATTGTCCAGCAAAGTGCGAAAATCATATCTTCATTTAATGAGGTTATGATTGATGAACATCCAGTACGGTTGAATGTCTTTAACGTGTTACATAGAAATGCAAAAACATTGAAATTGAAAGGATGGAAAAAATACAAATTGTACGACATATTTACATTTTCCTAACACTTTAGTAATTATTTGATAATCAGCAATAACGAATTCATCCAGCTCTTATTTGTATGATGTTTGACTAATGAATTCATAGTCATATAATGCATCATGTAGCAAAATCCTTTAGTAAGCCCTGGCTCCCGGGCCTTCCTTTTCCAATGTCACTGCTTTTTCTTTGCTTCTTTTTTAACCATTTAGACTTCTAGGTATTATTTGCAATAAATTATATCTTTTTTCCGTTCTTACATGCTTTCTTTACCTCGCTTTTGTGCAAATAAAATTCCCACCAAAAAGAAATGAGCACAAACCGTTGACATTTGAACTTAGTCTAAATGCAAAAAATAGTTTATCTACAAACAACTTAGTAATTAAGGTACGATATCAGTTGGTGAAAGTTAAAAAACTGTAGCAATACATACACAAATATAAAGTATAAAGACAGTTTAACGATACTTTTCACCTTAATAATATGCTATAGCCATTCCATTCTGGATTATAGTATTTTTTATATCAGTGAATTTAATGTAGGGCAGTTTTCGTTTTCGTCGGGCAAAAACATGTCAGCACCCCCAATTTTCTTGGTCCCGTACGCCCATGTTTGATTTCCTCACCATATAAACTCTCAACTTCAAAAAAAAATTATACATAATGTAAACTGAATTTTTGGAATAATGTTGATATATTAATATTTGTACAGATGGAATCAAGAGAGAACAGAAATCTACTTTACATTCAGCAAATAATGAATGTGGTACAAACGGAACTTGCTCAATTTTTCATCAAAGAATGGAATTCTCGTTACAAATCAACTTATGGAGAATGGGATGATACAAAAAATAGTGGCAAAAAATTTTGCACATTAGAATCAGGTAGGAAGTTGGATAAAAATCTACAGTTAAAATATCAAGATGGAGACACCAGTAAGTGGGACTGTACAACATTATTTAATGCAATACTTTATTCAAACTCAATTGGAAAGCATCTTGACACAAAAACAAAGGAAGCTGTTGATGCACTTCGTTGTGAAAGAAACAAGTACGCACATTGGTATAAAAGCGAATACTCAGATGATGATTTTGATAAAATAGTCAACATCATTGAAATATCATTTCAATATTTAAAATTTTCCCTCGATGAAATCAAAAAAATAAAAAATCATCGTAACAGCTTTGATTCATTTCACGTTTTTCCTTCTAAATCCAAACTTTTTCTCGTTGAACGCATTGAATTACGAGATAAAATCATAGAAGATCTTGAAAAATTAAGGAATGATAACAATAACGAACTGACATATTTCTACATTACTGGTAATCCTGGCAGTGGTAAATCTCAACTGGCAAGACAGGTTTGTGAAAAAATATCGTGTGATTGGAAAAATAAAACTTCGTTTGTAATGACTCTCGATGGGAAGAATGTTGAATCTCTTTTAAATACTTACTGTGACCTTGGATATCGTTTAAACTGTAACAAGTTTATGGTTGAAAAATTTAAAGATGGAAATTTTTCCGCGAAAGAGAAGGTCAGGAACCTTCGATCGTTAGTACCTGCTCGATTGAAATTCTGGCAAAATTGGTGGATTATTGTCGACAACGTTGTGCAATTGAGCGAAATTTCTTCGTTACTACCACAAGTAGGTGATCACATGTGGAAAAATGGACAACTTATAATAACTGTTCAGAACACAGATGCCGTACCTCACGATGAATTGTCCAGCAAACATATTTCTATCAGTAGAGGATTGAATGACAGAGAATGTTGTCAATTGTTAAATTCTTACACCAAAGATGAAAATGCTGATGATCAATTGTTGATTGAAGTATCGCACGCATTAGATCGTCAACCGCTGGCTTTGGCTGCTGCTGGTTATTATGTCAGTCGCGTGAATGAAAAAAACTGTTCATTTACATGGAGTCAATATTTAAAAAAAATATCTTCAGAAGAAGAAAACATGGACACCACTTTTGTTAAAGCAAACTTGGTATATCCTAGAAGTATGTTACAAGCTTCACTTTTAGCTGTCAAACAAAGTGCACAAGAATCCTCAATATTGGCACATGTTATTAGCTTTTTTTCCATGATATCTTTTGATCCTATACCACGAGAAATTTTGGTTTATTATGTTCAAAAAAATGATCCCAAACAAGCTAAGGAAGATATATGTCTTTGTTTAGACGAATGCTCATTGTTCTTGCATTCAGAAAATAATGACATTAGTCTACATAGCATTGTTCACAAAGCAACCATTGTTTATCAATCTAAACAATTGAATATAGAATGCAAAATAGACCAAGGCTGCAATTTGCCTTCTCTTCAATCAAACGTTGACCAAATAGTTCAAGCACTTTACATGTTTAAAAAGAAAGACGACGAAAGCAAATTAATGCCACATCTTGAAAAAATTTGTCAGTTATTAAAGACCAACAAGACAAAAATCAACATTAATACTTTACAAGTTTTCCAATATTTTGTTGACAGATTAAGACATTTTGGAAAATACGATCTTGCTCTTGAACTATTGGATAAAATTAAATCAGAAGAATCTAGTTATGACAAAGCTTGGTATTTTAGTATCCTTGGTCTTTTATACATTGCTACCGGGAAGTATATCGAAGCTAAAAATCATCACGAAAAAGCTTTGGAAATTCAAGAACAATCTTTAGGTCCAAATCATGATAGAGTCGCTACGTCTTTAAACAATCTTGGTTTTGTGTTTGAAAAACTTGGAATTTACGACAAAGCTATAGAGTTTCACGAAAAAGCTCTCGAAATTCGAAAACAATCGTTAGGTACAAAGCATGTTGATGTAGCTACGTCTTTTATCTATCTTGGTATGGTGTTTGAAAAAACTGGAAATTACGACAAAGCAATTGAGTTTTACAAAAGAGCTCTGGAAATTCAAAAACAATCGTTAGATCCAAATCATCTTGATGTCGCTGTGTCTTTAAACAATCTTGGTATGGCGTATTCCCAAACTGGAAACTACGACAAAGCTAATGAGTTTCTTGAAAAAGCTCTGGAAATTCAAAAACAATGGTTAGGTACAAATCATGTTAATGTTGCTGCGTCCTTAAACAATCTTGGTGGGGTGTTTGAAAAAACTGGAAACTACGAAAAAGCTATTGAGTTTTACGAAAAAGCTCTAGAAATTCGAAAACAATCGTTAGGTTCAAATCATGTTGATGTTGGTGGATCTCTAAACAATCTTGGTACGGTGTATTTTGAAACTGGAAACTACGACAAAGCTATAGAGGTTCACGAAAAAGCTCTGGAAATTCAAAAACAATCGTTAGGTCCAAATCATGTTGATGTCGCTAGGTCTTTAAACAATCTTGGTACGGTGTATGAAGAAACTAGAAACTACGACAAAGCTATAGAGTTGTACGAAAAAGCTCTGGAAATTCAAAAACAATCGTTAGGTCCAAATCATGTTGATGTCGCTGCGTCTGTAAACAGTCTTGGTAATGCGTATTGTAATACGGGAGACTACGACAAAGCTATAAAGTTTTACGAAAAAGCTCTAGAAATTAGGAAAAAATCGTTAGGTCCAAATCATGTTGATGTTGCTGCGTCTTTAAACAATCTTGGTAATGTGTATTGTAATACGGGAAACTACGACAAAGCTATTGAGTTTTACCAAAAAGCTCTGGAAATTAGGAAACAATCGTTAGGTTTAAATCATGTTGATGTCGCTGCGTCTTTAAACAATCTTGGTGTGGTGTTTTTTGAAACTGGGAACTACGACAAAGCTATAGAGTTTAACGAAAAAGCTCTGGAAATTCGAAAACAATCGTTAGGTCCAAATCATGTTAATGTCGCTATGTCTTTGAACAATCTTGGTACGATGTATAAAGAAACTGGAAACTACGACAAAGCTATAGAGTTTTACGAAAAAGTTCTGGAAATTCAAAAACAATCGTTAGGTCCAAATCATGTTGATGTCGCTGCGTCCTTAAACAATCTTGGTAATGTGTATTGTAATACGGGAAACTACGACAAAGCTATAAAGTTTTACGAAAAAGCTCTGGAAATTAGGAAACAATCGTTAGGTTTAAATCATGTTGATGTCGCTGCGTCTTTAAACAATCTTGGTGTGGTGTTTTTTGAAACTGGAAACTACAACAAAGCTATAGAGTTTAACGAAAAAGCTCTGGAAATTCGAAAACAATCGTTAGGTCCAAATCATGTTAATGTCGCTATGTCTTTGAACAATCTTGGTACGATGTATGAAGAAACTGGAAACTACGACAAAGCTATAGAGTTTTACGAAAAAGCTCTGGAAATTAGGAAACAATCGTTAGATCCAAATAGTGTTGATGTTGCCGCGTCTCTAAACAATCTTGGTATGGTGATTTATAAAACTGGAAACTACGACAAGTCTATAGAGGTTCACGAAAAACTCTGGAGACTAGAAAATGATCGTTAGTTCCAAATCATGTTGATGTCGATGTGTCTTTTATCTATCTTGGTATGGTGTTTGAAGAAACTGGAAATTACGACAACGCAATTGAGTTTTACGAAAAAGCTCTGGAAATTCAAAAACAATCGTTAGATCCAAATCATCTTGATGTCGCTGTGTCTTTAAACAATCTAGGTATGGTGTATTCCCCAACTGGAAACTACGACAAAGCTATTGAGTTTTACGAAAAAGCTCTGGAAATTAGGAAACAATCGTTAGGTTTAAATTATGTTGATGTCGCTGCGTCTTTAAACAATCTTGGTGTGGTGTTTTTTGAAACTGGGAACTACGACAAAGCTATAGAGTTTAACGAAAAGCTCTGGAAATTCGAAAACAATCGTTAGGTCCAAATCATGTTAATGTCGCTATGTCTTTGAACAATCTTGGTACGATGTATAAAGAAACTGGAAACTACGACAAAGCTATAGAGTTTTACGAAAAAGTTCTGGAAATTCAAAAACAATCGTTAGGTCCAAATCATGTTGATGTCGCTGCGTCCTTAAACAATTTTGGTAATGTGTATTGTAATACGGGAAACTACGACAAAGCTATAAAGTTTTACGAAAAGCTCTGGAAATTAGGAAACAATCGTTAGGTTTAAATCATGTTGATGTCGCTGCGTCTTTAAACAATCTTGGTGTGGTGTTTTTGAAACTGGAAACTACGACAAAGCTATAGAGTTTAACGAAAAAGCTCTGGAAATTCGAAAACAATCGTTAGGTCCAAATCATGTTAATGTCGCTATGTCTTTGAACAATCTTGGTACGATGTATGAATAAACTGGAAACTACGTAAGCTATAGAGTTTTACGAAAAAGTTCTGGAAATTCAAAAACAATCGTTAGGTCCAAATCATGTTGATGTCGCTGCGTCCTTAAACAATCTTGGTTATGTGTATTGTAATACGGGAAACTACGACAAAGCTATAAAGTTTTACGAAAAAGCTCTGGAAATTAGGAAACAATCGTTAGGTTTAAATCATGTTGATGTCGCTGCGTCTTTAAACAATCTTGGTGTGGTGTTTTTTGAAACTGGAAACTACGACAAAGCTATAGAGTTTAACGAAAAAGCTCTGGAAATTCGAAAACAATCGTTAGGTCCAAATCATGTTAATGTCGCTATGTCTTTGAACAATCTTGGTACGATGTATGAAGAAAATGGAAACTACGACAAAGCTATAGAGTTTTACGAAAAAGCTCTGGAAATTAGGAAACAATCGTTAGATCCAAATAGTGTTGATGTTGCCGCGTCTCTAAACAATCTTGGTATGGTGCTTATAAAACTGGAAACTACGACAAGTCTATAGAGGTTCACGAAAACTCTGGAGACTAGAAAATGATCGTTAGTTCCAAATCATGTTGATGTCGATGTGTCTTTTATCTATCTTGGTATGGTGTTTGAAGAAACTGGAAATTACGACAACGCAATTGAGTTTTACGAAAAAGCTCTGGAAATTCAAAAACAATCGTTAGATCCAAATCATCTTGATGTCGCTGTGTCTTTAAACAATCTAGGTATGGTGTATTCCCCAACTGGAAACTACGACAAAGCTATTGAGTTTTACGAAAAAGCTCTGGAAATTAGGAAACAATCGTTAGGTTTAAATCATGTTGATGTCGCTGCGTCTTTAAACAATCTTGGTGTGGTGTTTTTTGAAACTGGGAACTACGACAAAGCTATAGAGTTTAACGAAAAAGCTCTGGAAATTCGAAAACAATCGTTAGGTCCAAATCATGTTAATGTCGCTATGTCTTTGAACAATCTTGGTACGATGTATAAAGAAACTGGAAACTACGACAAAGCTATAGAGTTTTACGAAAAAGTTCTGGAAATTCTAAAACAATCGTTAGGTCCAAATCATGTTGATGTCGCTGCGTCCTTAAACAATCTTGGTAATGTGTATTGTAATACGGGAAACTACGACAAAGCTATAAAGTTTTACGAAAAGCTCTGAAATTAGGAAACAATCGTTAGGTTTAAATCATGTTGATGTCGCTGCGTCTTTAAACAATCTTGGTGTGGTGTTTTTGAAACTGGAAACTACGACAAAGCTATAGAGTTTAACGAAAAGCTCTGGAAATTGAAAACAATCGTTAGGTCCAAATCATGTTAATGTCGCTATGTCTTTGAACAATCTTGGTACGATGTATGAATAAACTGGAAACTACGTAAGCTATAGAGTTTTACGAAAAAGTTCTGGAAATTCAAAAACAATCGTTAGGTCCAAATCATGTTGATGTCGCTGCGTCCTTAAACAATCTTGGTTATGTGTATTGTAATACGGGAAACTACGACAAAGCTATAAAGTTTTACGAAAAAGCTCTGGAAATTAGGAAACAATCGTTAGGTTTAAATCATGTTGATGTCGCTGCGTCTTTAAACAATCTTGGTGTGGTGTTTTTTGAAACTGGAAACTACGACAAAGCTATAGAGTTTAACGAAAAGCTCTGGAAATTGAAAACAATCGTTAGGTCCAAATCATGTTAATGTCGCTATGTCTTTGAACAATCTTGGTACGATGTATGAAGAAAATGGAAACTACGACAAAGCTATAGAGTTTTACGAAAAAGCTCTGGAAATTAGGAAACAATCGTTAGATCCAAATAGTGTTGATGTTGCCGCGTCTCTAAACAATCTTGGTATGGTGCTTTATAAAACTGGAAACTACGACAAGTCTATAGAGGTTCACGAAAAACTCTGGAGACTAGAAAATGATCGTTAGTTCCAAATCATGTTGATGTCGATGTGTCTTTTATCTATCTTGGTATGGTGTTTGAAGAAACTGGAAATTACGACAACGCAATTGAGTTTTACGAAAAAGCTCTGGAAATTCAAAAACAATCGTTAGATCCAAATCATCTTGATGTCGCTGTGTCTTTAAACAATCTAGGTATGGTGTATTCCCCAACTGGAAACTACGACAAAGCTATTGAGTTTTACGAAAAAGCTCTGGAAATTAGGAAACAATCGTTAGGTTTAAATCATGTTGATGTCGCTGCGTCTTTAAACAATCTTGGTGTGGTGTTTTTTGAAACTGGGAACTACGACAAAGCTATAGAGTTTAACGAAAAAGCTCTGGAAATTGAAAACAATCGTTAGGTCCAAATCATGTTAATGTCGCTATGTCTTTGAACAATCTTGGTACGATGTATAAAGAAACTGGAAACTACGACAAAGCTATAGAGTTTTACGAAAAAGTTCTGGAAATTCTAAAACAATCGTTAGGTCCAAATCATGTTGATGTCGCTGCGTCCTTAAACAATCTTGGTAATGTGTATTGTAATACGGGAAACTACGACAAAGCTATAAAGTTTTACGAAAAAGCTCTGGAAATTAGGAAACAATCGTTAGGTTTAAATCATGTTGATGTCGCTGCGTCTTTAAACAATCTTGGTGTGGTGTTTTTTGAAACTGGAAACTACGACAAAGCTATAGAGTTTAACGAAAAAGCTCTGGAAATTCGAAAACAATCGTTAGGTCCAAATCATGTTAATGTCGCTATGTCTTTGAACAATCTTGGTACGATGTATGAAGAAACTGGAAACTACGTAAGCTATAGAGTTTTACGAAAAAGTTCTGGAAATTCAAAAACAATCGTTAGGTCCAAATCATGTTGATGTCGCTGCGTCCTTAAACAATCTTGGTAATGTGTATTGTAATACGGGAAACTACGACAAAGCTATAAAGTTTTACGAAAAAGCTCTGGAAATTAGGAAACAATCGTTAGGTTTAAATCATGTTGATGTCGCTGCGTCTTTAAACAATCTTGGTGTGGTGTTTTTTGAAACTGGAAACTACGACAAAGCTATAGAGTTTAACGAAAAAGCTCTGGAATTTCGAAAACAATCGTTAGGTCCAAATCATGTTAATGTCGCTATGTCTTTGAACAATCTTGGTACGATGTATGAAGAAACTGGAAACTACGACAAAGCTATAGAGTTTTACGAAAAAGCTCTGGAAATTAGGAAACAATCGTTAGATCCAAATAGTGTTGATGTTGCCTCTAAAACAATCGGTATGGTGCTTTATAAACTGGTGTACGACAAGTCTATAGAGGTTCACGAAAAACTCTTGAGACTAGAAAATGATCGTTAGTTCCAAATCATGTTGATGTCGATGTGTCTTTTATCTATCTTGGTATGGTGTTTGAAGAAACTGGAAATTACGACAACGCATATGAGTTTTACGAAAAAGCTCTGGAAATTCAAAAACAATCGTTAGATCCAAATCATCTTGATGTCGCTGTGTCTTTAAACAATCTAGGTATGGTGTATTCCCCAACTGGAAACTACGACAAAGCTATTGAGTTTTACGAAAAAGCTCTAGAAATTCGAAAACAATCGTTAGGTCCAAATCATGTTAATGTCGCTATGTCTTTAAACAATCTTGTAACAGTGTTTGAAGAAACTGGAAACTACGACAAAGCTATAGAGTTTTACGAAAAAGCTCTGGAAATTCAAAAACAATCGTTAGGTCCAAATCATGTTGATGTCGCTGCGTCTGCAAACAGTCTTGGTAATGTGTATTGTAATACGGAAAACTACGTCAAAGCTATAAAGTTTTACGAAAATCTCTGGAAATTAGGAAACAATCGCTAGTTCCAAATCATGTTGATGTTGCTATGTCTTTGAACAATCTTGGCACGATGTATGAAGAAACTGGAAACTACGACAAAGCTATAGAGTTTTACGAAAAAGCTCTGGAAATTCAAAAACAATCGTTAGGTCCAAATCATGTTGATGTCGCTGCGTCTGCAAACAGTCTTGGTAATGTGTATTGTAATACGGGAAACTACGACAAAGCTATAAAGTTTTACGAAAAAGCTCTGGAAATTAGGAAACAATCGTTAGGTCCAAGACTGGATCAAGCAACGATCGTGACTAAAACACCACACGAGTACATACGATTAAATGAACAACGTATAAATAATGCATTCAAAACGTGCTATATGAAATAAATGTACATTATATATATTTGAATTAAATGAGAGTTGCACTGTGTTACGTATATATATCATATTACGCGTACAATTTCAGCTTACTTTTAATGTTTTTAAAGTTCTAGCTGATATAATTCAGTCTTTTAACTGCAAAATCAGTATCTTAAAGACCAAAATGAATGTATAATCGCTTTCATAAATATGTATTTCCTAAGTGAAAGTGTGTCAAAAAGCGCTCAAATACTGGCAAATCGCATCGACAAAATATCTATAACAAATTCAACTAAAACATACAAATGAATGTAGTATGAAAGTAAAATACCTTTTCAGCATATAAATCCATCAAATGGTTGCCCCAAACTCCACACAAATACAAAGAAAAATAAACGCAAATATCAATGTATTAAAGAAATTGCGTTGTTTCTCATTTGTTGACCAGAAAATAGTCGTATGTCACTCGTATGTACTCGTATGTCACTCGTATGTACTTGTATGTTACTCGTATGTACTCGTATGTTACTCGTATGTACTTGTATGTACTTGTATGTTACTCGTATGTACTCGTATGTACTCTTATGTTACTCGTATGTCACTCGTATGTACTCGTATGTCGCTCGTATGTACTCGTACGTACTCCTATGTACTCCTATGTACTCCTATGTACTCGTGTGGTGTTTTAGTCACGATCAACCCTTAGCAACTTGTAATGCTGTAGTTGCACATCAATCTAACAAAGTTACAAATTCAAACAACAACAATTGCTTCCTAAAAACAAATCACTGTCATTTGAAGCCAGGTATGTTTACGATGATGTGTTTGTATGTTAAAGTAGTTTAATACCTGGTAGAAATTATTAGTTGTTCAATGAAGACAGTCTATTTGTTAAAAAAATATATGTGTTATTTCTTTTAGTTTTTGATGTATTAAATCACATTTACGCCTGATTAAATTTATTTTAAAATTGAATATTTATGTCATCTTTGAATAGTTTAAGTATTCTTTATAAACTACCAAAATATTTTTTAAACAACTCAATTGGTTAAAAATTTATCGTCAAAATATTCTTTATAAACTTTAACCAACAGAATTATTGCTATGGTATTTTAAATATATGGTGAGGTGCTATAATGTTGTATTCTGACTTAACCTTGATCTGCCATTGTGAAAATAGTATCAAATGTTTTTGTTGTTTATTAACACATTTTCTTATTTAATATAGGTTCATAAAGCCATCTTTATTGCTACAAACACTTTATCTGACATCATTGAGAAATGGCAAACTTGTGATTCAAATATGGACAACTTTGTGTAAAGCTCAAGGTACCAAACACTTGCCTTTCATATCTGTGCATACAAAGCGAAAAAAAGACTTTCTTAGGTGAACTTATTTGAATTGCACTTTGTTTTAATACTGATGTGTGCTACATGTTTTGCTTAAACATTTTTAACAACTTACATGACGTTTCAAGTGCAATAACTATGTATTTTTCCTGTTAAGATATACGATTTGTCTTATCAGAATATGCTATAAAGATATTAAACTGTGCTGTGGCGTCGCCTGAACGATATTTGAAGCGAAGGAGAATATTCATATGTATTGGATATGCTGTATAAAAATGCTTTGAAATTTATTTTTTAGCGAATTATCATATGCATAATACATTCATGAGTATTTCTTCCCGCCAAATATCGTTTTGGCGGCGCACTGCAACTGTGATTATGTCGGTTATTAGTTGTTAAAGTAATTTTCCATTGAATCATTTGTTCTTACTTTCATGATATTGAATATTAACTCATGTTTGCAAAAAGTAATAATGAATGAACGTTTACCTAACTCTTATAACGTTTAGTTGCTCTGAAATTTAATAAATTTGGCAGCCAAAATTACAACACTGTAATGAGTACATAAGTAAGATTTAAGTCACAAAATTGCTAAAAAGTTGTGAACTTCTTCCAAGGTGCCTTAGAATTTGTCAAAAATTTTTCTGTACGTTTCATAATGCTATCGAACAAACTGACAAATCATCTAAATATAGAACTTACCCATTTGAGAATTATGTCTTACGAAAACAAAGCAATATGATTGAAATTTCTAAACTGTCAACGAAAGTATTGTCGAAACAACGAATTTATGTGCATGGCTGTTTTCCAGACAATATTTCTAGCTGTTACCGATGGTTTTTACATACATGCACCTATAAGATCCTCGCTATATTTAGTTAGTTTATAAATGATTATTTGCTTTTCGATTTATCTCTATTGTTTTCGTAAAAATCTCAATGGTTTTTATTGATGCTACTAATTTTTGATTTGGTTTTTCAACGTGATATTGGTCATTACTATTGTCTAACACACCATGTGGTTGTGTGCACAGAGGTACAGTTTTCACAGATTGTGGTGTATACTTGCAATGAAGGAGAGCCGTAATTCCCTTTTGCTCAAATTTTTACGACTCACTGCCATATTTTTAGCAGTTGAGAAACCTCACGGCAAAGAGAATGCCCTTAAATCTTCTCTTAAAGGGGTAGTCTGACCTTAACACAACTTTCGCTCATATGAAAGTGTATATTGTTCTTACCTCTCTCACGAAATCCTAGGTTTCCAATTCAAATTTAACTCGAGAAATAATGCCTTAAATGTGTGTATTTTGCCTCTTGTTCGATTGTGTACATGCGCGAAGCCGCAGTCCAGCGTAGTTCGTCGTGACGTCACTGCTGGTGATCGTTGTCAACATTAGACAAAATATACAGCAGACACGCATAATTATTCATCGTTGCATTTTATTTTCTAAGTTTTAAATTATTTGCGCAATGGATACGGATTACTCAAACGATTCCTCTAGTAATTATTCTGGAAGCAGTGTTTCAAACTACGAAGAAATGATTAACGATCAAAACATGATTCAACCATATGCTTATGAGCCGATTGAAACAGACTCTAGCGACGAGCCTATGGACGACTCCGACGAAGTTCAGTGTGTAACAGAATGAAGACTCAGCACAATTTGAGGGAATAGATACTCGACCATTACAGATAATCCTGTTTTCGAAATCTTTGTTTAAATTATTGTATTATGACTGGCATGGAGTGAGTACAAACAACACTATGGTTCAAGAGCTGAAGAAGGACCTGAACACAAAGACAGACATGGCACAGGCAACTGGTTCGATGGTGTTGAATGTATTGGGCAAGGAAATTAGAGTACCACTACCATCTTTTGCTGTTAGCTACATTCGAGCATTTCCAACCACCGGTCTAGAAGAGGACTTTGTCTTTGAGGGTTTTAAATTCGCTGATGAATAATAATGGTAATGTAACTATTATAGCCATATTTATAAGTATCGTTAATGATGAATTATTAATAAAAATATAAATTGGATTTAGTAAATGAACAATAAATTAAACCAATTATTGCTATGCAAGGATTTTGGTGTACATAATTAAAAGTGCCTTTTAATGAATTTGCATAGCAAAACAAAAAATTTGCTACTTTACTATTAGGGATTCTCTTATTATTAATTATAAATATTGGTATATACATAACTATTTTTGGGGGACTGTTTACCCATTCTTGATTTGTGTGCTTGTAAAACACTTTCTTTGTTTGGCTTTTCTATAGATGCAATATTTCTTGGAATGTTTGCTGGTAAGAAATCTTGTTATGTACATTTTTACATTAAAACAGCAGACATCTTCCATCATACCTTGCACAAAAGAATATGACTTACTCGCCATAATTGGCTTGGCTACCCAATTTTCTCGCCCTTTTGGGAACACGATATTATATCACTTTTCCCCTTGCTGCTTTCCACATTGAACTTGTGCTTGTTTTCTGCCAGTGTTTACATTGTGGTCTATCACTGCCAACTTGGTTCTTGCAAGCATACCTTTATACGAAAAGCACTTTTAATAAAGTATTTTCCTCCTTCCTCTTGTGCTTATCATGTTCCCAAAAGGTGAAAAATTGGGTAGCCAAGCCAATTATGGTGAGTAAGTCATATTCTTTGTGCAAGGTATGATAGAAGATGTCTGCTGTTTTAATGTAAAATGTACATAACAAGATTTCTTTACCAGCAAACATTCCAAGAAATATTGCATCTACAGAAAAGCCAAACAAAGAAAGTGTTTTACAAGCACACAATCAAGAATGGGTAAACAGTCCCCAAAATAGTTATGTATATATCAATATTTATAATTAATAATAAGAGACTCTAATAGTAAAGTAGCAAAATTTTGTTTTGCTATGCAAATTCATTAGAAAAGGCACTTTTAATTATGTACACCAAAATCCTTGCATAGCACAAATAAAGAATTGGTTTGGCTTTGGCCATTATAATTTGTATTTATTGTTCATTTACTAAATCCAATTTATATTTTTATTTATTAGTAATTCATCATTAACGATACTTATAAATATGGCTATAATAGTTTACATTACCATTATTATTCATCAGCGAATTAAAACCCTCAAAGACAAAGTCCTCTTCTAGACCTGGTGGTTGGAAATGTGCTCGAATGTAGCTAACAGCAAAGATGGTAGTGGTACTCTAATTTCTTTGCCCAATACATTCCAACACCATCGAACCAGTTGCCTGTAAGCCACATGTCTTTGTCTTTGTGTTCAGGTCCTTCTTCAGCTCTTGAACCATAGTGTTGTTTGTACTCACTCCATGCCAGTCGTAATACCCAATAATTTAAACAAAGATTTCGAAAAACAGGATTATCTGTAATACAGTCCGGAGTATCTATTCCCTCAAATTGTGCTGAGTCTTCATTCATTGTTACAACAGCTGAACTTCGTCGGAGTCGTCCATAGGCTCGTCGCTAGAGTCTGTTTCAATCGGCTCATAAGCATATGGTTGAATCATGTTTTGATCGTTAATCATTTCTTCGTAGTTTGAAACACTGCTTCCAGAATAATTACTAGAGGAATCGTTTGAGTAATCCGTATCCATTGCGCAAAATAATTTAAAAACTTAGAAAATAAAATGCAACGATGAATATGCTTATGCGTAATTTCTACTTTTGCTAGTATATTTTGTCTTATGTTGACAACGATCACCGAGCAGTGACGTCACGACGAAAAACCGCTGCTGGACTGCGGCTTCGCTTGCATGTACACAATGGCGATCGAAAAATACACACATTTAATGCATTATTTCTCGAGTTAAATTAGGGCTACAAGATTCAATGAATACTTGGACAAAATTAAAGTCTACTTTCTAAATTCATTATCGTGTCATTAATCTTACCCTACCACATCATGTTTCGTTACTTTGCATAACGACATTAAAACGCAAATATCTGACAATTCTTATGAATTTTTTTGTTTAAATGCATTGAAGGATTACTTATTGTCTTTATGAAAGGTTACAAGTTCCTAAAGGGGCCAGTCAAAATAGAAAAATTTAGTCATGACGTCAATTAAAAAAATTTTAACATATGTAAATTCGTGTGTTTTATCTTCAACTACAACGGAAAATTAGTCGCTTTAACTTTGTAGAAAAAAAGGTAAATTCTGATTTTTTACTGTGTAAGTAAGTATGAGTTACTTGGAATAATCAACTAGTCTTAGTGTTGTCCTCGAATTCCAATTATGAAAGCTCTCACTGTAAAATGCTTTGATCACAATGTTAAGCCTTTGATCGTTTGAAATTTCTTGTTGCATCGTTTAAACTCAACTGACTAAAGTCATTCGTGCAATTTAGGTAAATGTTCTACCATTTGGATAGTCCATCAGAAAACATATTACAATTTGCTCATTCTCAATATATCTGATTAAGAATTTAAAAACGCAAACTATCGTCTTATGCAAAGTTATTCATCATGAAATCTCATACATGTGTTTCGTATTTTCTTATATTGTAGACCCAGATGGATGGAGTTGTGAAAGTCCCTTTATCACCTGTGTCATTCACTTCTATTACTCTTACAAGTTTGTCATTACTCATGTGTCATGGTGATTCATGGCCAAGAATGTTCATTTGTAGTTTGGATTCTTTGCTGATGTCAGTTGTTTGTTCATATAATGATGGGCCCCATTGTTATATGAGCCCACCTGAAGGTGGTCAACTGATACTCACAGAAGATCAACTCTGCACTAAGCATTCTTTGAGTGATAATATAACTGGAGTATTCAAGTGGTCCCTTTTCCTTCGCTCGAAGTTACCATAAGAGTGCATTGTAAATTGTATTCGATTGAAAAGGCGGTTCATGATTTAGGAACAACTTTATTGGTTGATGATGCTGGTTACTTCATGTAAAAAATGGTATAAACATATTGAATGGACAACGCATAACGGCATATGTACGTATGAACATTAACATTGAAGTAATTGGACTATTCTACAAACTTGAATTGAGTTGATTGGAACATTCTACTTTACTGAAAGATTCACACTTGCGACTTTCTCTATGCATAATGTTCACCAGTATAGCACATTTTCAAATTCAACCGTTAAAAATTTCAGTAAA